TATTTTCTTTTAAGCTGATGAATTGTACCAAAAGTTAAATTAAAATGTCAACTCAAACTGAATTATTTTCATCGGCTGATGAGGGCAAAGGAAATTCTTAAAGTTACGCACACCGAAAATTATAATAAATAATAATATTAGAATGCTATACGGCTGATACTTCCGCTTGATAAACACTGCAGTATTCGGGGAGCCGAAAATATATCTCTAGCCTCAGTTGAAGTGAGAAAACTGCTTGTACGACTCTCTCAGTAAGTCATGTACATACATATATATAGCATATAGAAGCTTATGGCATCGAGCATATGGTTGGGTCCGCTACACAAGTCCGATCGAATTTCTATAGCACTGATGGTCAAAACAGCACCCTTCCAATTAAAATGTGGTCAAAAATAGAATCATAAACGGATTTTTATTAACTGTTGGTGATAATGTTGGACCAAAATGTTTCAATCTAAAAAAATTGATTTTTGGCGGGACGAAGTTCGCCGAGTCTGCTAGTCTTATTATACATTTTTTAATACGTTTTCGATTTAAATGTAAAATAAAAATTATGTGAACAATATTGATATTTGAACTTTTTACGAGGATTGAAAGAGAGTAGAAAAAATTAGAAAAAATTAAATATTAGGATGACATCCTAACCCAAAACCCCAAAATGGTTCCGCAACACAATAAATAATGTTGATTTCTTTTCTTGTAATTATTTTATATACGCACATATGTAGGTAGTCATATAAATTTTTTTTGCATTTTGCTCCCGTACCCCCTCTTTTGTGGCATGCAATTGCTTGCCATCGCATTTTAGTGTCCACATTCCTTCGCAACGAGTGCTATGAGTTTCTGACTAGGTGCTCCTAGTAAATTTTATAGTTGTTATTGCCATTGCTATTGTCATTATTTTGCCTTTGCCATACTTCTTAACACTTCACATTCTCATTTCCGTTTTTGCCATTACAAGCTGCCACTTAACTGCTTTTGTGGCTGCGGTTGACTGCAAGTTGCCGCGCGCAGCCGCCTCAGTGCATTCGTATAATTTAGCGCTGTTTTCGCCCTAATTTTTGTGTGTGTTTGTATGCGTGCAAGTGCTTTTATAGTTTTTCATCTTGCTGCTCTTTGATGCACATAAATGAAGCGCACATTTACTTATTTATTTGTGTGTCTTTCGACCACTTC